TAGTATCAGTAGCTAATTCTCGGCTACTTTTTCGTGTCAGATGTGAGCATTACAGTTAGCGTTACAGTTAGCATTACAGTTAATGAGAAAGTTTACATACGAAAGCTAAAGGACATGACTTGCTTTAAAGGAGCTACGTCACGATTTGCGCACCTTGAAAAAACTAGCCTAGTTTTTCAAGTTCGTTATTTGCAGTCCTTGTTAATCTTTGCCATCCTTAACGATCCTCATTCCGTTTCGATTTGTTCTTGCCTCTTAAGTGCTTTCTATCCTAGAACACGATCATTTTAAGGTTTTATTCCATATAAAGGTAACTCTTTACGACCCTAAAAATGACTCTAAAACTCGTGACGTAACTCCTAAAATGTTGTTTATTCTCGGGTTGCGTTATCGTTCACACTATCGATGTTATTCCTATAATTTTTTGTAAAACAGCTATATTTCCTTGAAGTACAAATGGTTTGTTTTGTTTTACTCCAGTACGAAATATCGTATTCCAAACTCACATCTTGTAAAAGTATAGACTTGTCTCAGAAACAGAAATTGTTTGAAATCATCAGGTGTTTAATTTTTTNTAGTATCAGTGGCTAATTCTCGGCTACATTTTCGTGTCAGATGTGAGCGTTACAGTTGGCGTTACAGTTAATGAGAAAACTTACGTACGAAAGCTTAAAAGGAGCTACGTCACGATTTGCGCATCATGAAAAAACTAGCCTAGTTTTTCAAGTTCATCATTTGCAGTCCTCGTTAATCTTTGCCATCCTCAACGATCCTCATTCTGTTTTGATTTGTTCTTGCCTTTTAAGAGTTTTCTATCCTAGAACACGATCATTTTGAGGTTTTATTCTACTTAAAGGCAACTCTTTACGACCCTAAAAATGACTCTAAAAATCGTGACGTAACGCCTAAAATGTTGTTTATTCTCGGGTTGCGTTATCGTTCACACTATCGATGTTATTCCTAAAATGTTTTGCAAAACAGCTATATTTCCTTGAAATACAAATGGTTTGTTTCGTTTTATTCCAGTGCGAAATATCGTATTCCAAACTCACATCTTGTAAAAGTATAGACTTGTCTCAAAAACGGAAATTGTTTGAAATAATCAGATGTTTAATTTTTTAGTGTTTTTAGTTTTTGTGTTTCTATTCATACGTTCGTCCTATTGTTACCCTGGTGACTCGTTTTATGACAGTTTACCTTTGATGCAAGTGAATATACGAAATATCATTTATCTGAACTGCGGA